TAACTTACATCCCCTCACAAAGCCTCCGACAGCTCCTCCTCCCCATTTCCCAAACCAAGCCTTTCTTTTAGCACTTGTGGTGGTTGGGCTGGATCCCAGTGGTGTGCAGCCTCTCCTGCCTGCTCACACAGGGGATGTCCCATGGTCCCCAACAGCTGCCCCTGGGCAAAATACTCCAGAGCAATAACACTGCTGTGAGCACAGCTTGTTTCTCTCAGAGAAGTTGGCACCTTAAATATAATAGCAAAGCAGTCAGTCTCTGGAAGGAAAATCCATTAAAAAAAGTTTTCTAAGTCATCTTGCCTTGTTTTTCTCCCTCGCAATGCTTGGACTTTAATACTAATGGTGTATCAGTGTCTGAGTTGACTGAGGGATGCAGGGAGAGGGGAAAAGCCCTGCACTGATTGAAAAATGAATTGTTGTCCTTGCTTCAGGTAAAAAGCAAGTGAAGCAGGAAATTGCTCTGTGTTTTCTTTGAGAGGAAAGTAGCTCTCACGTGGTTCTTCTGTAAGATAGGCAAAGATACAGTTCAGTTTCATTAACTCATTTTGATTGACAAAACAGCTGCAGAAAATTCATTCAGCATTTTTTTGCAGGTCTGAAAAAAAAAATACTTCTGGGCATCACCATTTGAGAAAGATATTACATATTTTTGCTGTGACTCAGGAAGACACTCCTTAAACAAAAGAGATACATTAATTAGCTCTTCTACTTAATCAGCATTTCAAGATGACACTTTGCAGTTCAGCACTGAAAATTCTGGTGATAAAATATTTTGTTCCACATCCCCAGCAGTATGTGTCTATGGAAGGACTGAGCCCCACGTGGATGCCTGTGCACTGTCCCCATGCCCTGCCCTCCACAGCTCCACTTTATACGGATGGGTTTGTCACTAACCTGACTGTTCTGGGACGTTTTCCGTGATGACAGCCACGATCCGGCTCGCAACCTCCCAAGCTCAAGATGCACCAGGCCTTGGGCACACTTGGAAAAAAAATCACAATGTACAACATTTAAGTAGACACAGAATATTTCATGCTCTCCTGGAGAGAATTACGTTTATATTCAGCACCACAACTCCATGAAGAAGGCCACAAGGAATGCTGAAAACATTAACATTTGTATTTAGACAACACAAAAAGTGCCTGCCCATGGATTTAGGTTTATCCTGGAGGTTTATCCTGATTGCTGAAGTCAATATGAATCTTCCTACGGGCAAACTATAGATGGCCAATTACTCTGTAAAAATAAGCAAAAAGACCCCAAGTCTTTGATAGACATTTGCCACAAGCAATACGAATGTAAAACACTTCAGAGGTAAAATACTGCAGAAAAAGGGTGAATTCAACATATATGGATTCAACTTAATAATGGACCCTCATATCACCAATTTCCAATTCTTAAATAGGTGAACTTTTGGCCAGGTACCACTCTGAATGGAAGAAGCAAGGAAATAATTTGCAGATAAAAGAGATCATATGCAGAGACACTAGTGGTGATGTCGGAGGGAAGCCCTTGTCTCTAGATGCAGTTTTGAATAGAAATGGGGTCTGCAGCATCACTCCCACCCATCCTTTCATCCTTGGTCCATGGTCTTGGGGAGCTCACATCAGGCACTCACAGCCAGTCCATCCCCTGCCCTCTCCTCTGACTCAAGCATCCACATGCTTTTATAATGGAAAAAACCAAATTCTCCCAGCCTGCACAACTTCAGAGTATAAAATCACTCCTGTAAGATGGAAAGCTCTGCAGAACCAGATTTAAGCTGCCATTTTATATCTGCAGGTTAGTGCAGCAAAGCTAAAGGCATTTTATTTCAGTTCTTATTTGTATGCCTCTCAGGATTCTAAATATTTTTATAATGTATGAAATACACAGTTGTGTTTTCAAATAAATGCCCAAATACTGCGTATCTTTGTCTTCCAACTTCATATCGTCCCACTTCTAAATATACACAGAGAAATTATTTTAAATGAATCTCCCAAAGTTATTTCAGATGAAATTCCTGTCTCAGTAATCAGTTTGAGCTGTCCTGCATATGTGTAAATAGCACTTCAGGATAATTACCTTCCATGCTGTCAGTAACTGCAATTCAATATCTTAAAATGTATTATACACTCACCTTAAGTATAGTGGCAACAGTCTCTTGTGAGGCATTTCTCATATCCTCTCCATTTACAGACAAAATCTGATCTCCTTGAATTAATCTTCCATCTAGATCTGCAGCTCCTCCTTTAACAATGTCAGAGATAAACACTCCACTTCCATTTCTAACAATGCAAGAAGCATATGGCTAATTACACAATCCAATATTCTTTGGGAGACCAATTTAGATTACTTGCATTTAAGACACATTAAAAGAAACCTGTGAGCAGAGGAAGAACTAGTTTTACACTCCATTCAATTGTAAAAAAAAAAATCTGAGTTTTAAACTGAAGGCATGTTTTCCTATATGTAATGCTGTCTTTCTCCTTGAACCATTAGTTCTGACTGCATGATCCATAAAGATTCATGAAAAATATCACTTTTATGAAAAAAAACCTAAGGATCAGTCTAAGATGGAGCTAAGCTATCTCCTGATGTGCCTGATATGAATTAAGCAGTAGTACAGAAAGTTTTGCACTGAAGCAAATGCAGGAGGGCTGGAGAGTGCGATTACCATCTGCAGGATAATTTACATAAGCTAAATTAATTACCCAACCCACAATCTGCTCACAACACCTGGGTTAAACGTCGCCGCTCTTGTAAAGAACCACTGTGGAAACTTTTCTGACCATACGCAGTCAGGATAACGACATGATGATTTGTAATTGAGAAAATAAATTTATTTTGGCAATAGAGAAGAGCAACCATATGACTCTTACGCAGTGACGCTGAACGGGCGCTCGCCAGTGTCATGCCATAAATCCCTTCTAGCAATGAAAGATTGAATCTAACAGTGCCCTGGTTCAAATGATCTAATAGCAATGGTTTAGAAATACATCAGTAAAAAGTCACATTTTATTAAGTAGTTGTTACCTAGCACTGTGTCTCACATTCTGCTCTGGACTCACAGAACTGCTGACTGTAGTGTTGTGCAGTCACTTTGATATTGTTGAGGATTTTGGGTCTAACTCAGCCTCTCATCTTCCACTGACATTGGTCCCTTTGAATTCGAGTAGGAGCTAAATCTAACTTGCACATCCATTTTCAAAGGCATACCCTGGTATTTGTAACTAAGACAGTTTCTCTCCCTGTTTCAAAGTCAGAAAAGCCATGGCTAGGGCCTCCAAGCCCTGAGACCCAGCAGAGCAGTGAGGTGATCCAGGTTTTGCCTGCACCCCTTGGCCACACTCACTCTGAGTAGGACACCTGCTCTGTGCCGCGTGCCGGGCGCTCCCCGGGGCAGCAGGAGCCTTTCCTACCCATGTGTGTCAGTGTTCTGACAGAGGAGCCAGGACCACAGCCCCATGGTATCCTTAAAGATACTTAAGATATAAAATTCTGTTCCTTACAGAGTTTTTCCTGTATTTCATATTGCATTTAATGGCTACAGTTGTTCGTATGGCAAAAAGCAAAAAGCTTCTCATTCGAAGTGCAGCTGGATCACAGAGACCTCTTACCGTTTTCCAGCTATGCTGAGCCCTAGTCCTCGGCCTGTTTTCTTTTGTATATCTACGTAGAAAATCTCCAAGTTCTCTTCATCTTTGTAATGGGCCTCATCTCTGTAAACAACCAGCTGCACCTTCTGGGGCGTCTGTCTCAGCGCAGTGATAGCTTCTTCATGGCTGGCATTCCGCAGATCGATCCCGTTCACCTGAAATAATCAGTGTTTTCTTTCCAAATGACAGGTATAAATGATCTTTTCATCACATCCTACCCTTGTGTGACAGGACAAATTTGTCAAATTGACACCCTTTGGCACTCAAATTTAGTGCTCCCATTTCCAGAGGGCCAAGCTCCGGGATCTCCTACTGAGCGCGAGTTTGGTGCTTTGTGCCACTGCCTGGAGTAAATCACAATGATCAAAACATGTTGGCTTGGATGTTTTGTGGGCATTCTTCCCTTCTTTTGAAATGCTGGAATCTCAAACAATGCCTCTTTCTCAAGACTAGACAAAACAGGACATGCTCCTTTGAGCTTCCTAGATTTCTTTGCCGCTCAGATTCCTTCTCCCCTGGCTTCACAACGTCACCAAGCCGAAGACAGAAGGCATCGGAAGCATGAGCAATGGCACTGGGGGAGCCCGGGCAGGACATGTGAAATGGTTATTTTGCTTTGTTCCAATAGATGGCGCACAAGACCGCTCCTGGAGCACTCGCTTTCATTTCTCTTACAACAACCTGAAAATGTTTGAGCCTTTTACTTATATCAGATAGAACAAGAAGTTTTGATTGAATGTTCAAGTACAAAAAAAAAGCTACTGCAACTTGAAACTGAATCTCCTAGTTTTGCTGAGCCCAATCCACAGACAATTTTTAGGGTGTTTGCCAATAATCTGTTCATGAAATAATTTTTTCTCTCTTAATACCAAAAAAAAATCAAAGCTTAAATAGTTTTGAAGTCTCTTTATGAAGCAGCATGAACTGTAATGAATAACATTACATGTTAATCCACTTACACAGCTTACTAAGTTTTAGGGCAATGCAAACATTTCTCAGTACTTCTAGACATGCAAAGTTATAATCATACCTGATTTTACATTAAGATAATTAAGACTAACCTATAGTAATTATATTCTTTTGTATTAATTCTGCACATATTTATGTACTGGGTTGGCATTCTTTTCTTGACACAGGCATCTCTGTGCTTTATCCTACTAATCTGAAACTAATTCAGAGTCATCTTTTTTGATTCATTAGTACAGCTTTTAAAAGCTGAAATAATAACAATATTATGGCACACAAACATTAGCACTTTCCTGTTTGGCCAGAGAAGAATTAATTAACCTTCCCCATTTTTATGCCCTAATTATTGTGCTCTGTTAATACACAGTTATTTATAAAATGAAAACAACATTCAGCCCGAACGCTAAAAAAAATATTTTGAGTGCAAAGAGCTGTAAAGACAACTCCCCAAGTACCCCTCGCTATTTTTCTAACCCTACACACCAAAGCCTTAATGGCCATGCTGGGAATTTGTCCTGATCTGACAGCGAGAGGCTGGAGCAGCTGCAATGAACCCCTGACGCAGACCGACACTTCGGCCTTAACCCTTTCCCTCCATTTCCTCGCTCGTTTGAGGGAAAAACACTACTTTTTGTGATAGAAACTGTTCCCTCTGCTCCCTGGTTTTATGACCCGTGGCCCGAAGGAGCCACGGCTCCCCCGGCAGCGCTGCACGTGAGTGCTGTGGGTTTTTTGGTGGGGAAGAAGTCTCGCCCAGCCTCTTGTCTGAGTGCTCCCCCCAGCAGCCCCCAGACCCCGGAGCGGGAGGGCGGCAGCGCAGGCCTCCGAACGGGAGATTAACCAGATGAATAACACCGAGCTATTGGACATGACAGCTGAGCTGTGGAACTCCAGAACCGCCTTGCTCAATTAAATTTAATATATTCTCAATTTGTACCTTTGGTTTCTATGAATATATAAGGAAATGGGAATTCGTCAGGATGCCCTTAGTGATCAAAAAGAAGCTTCAAGTCCAGCTCCTACCCGATGAGCTCTCTTCTCCCACAAGAAACCCGCGCTGCGTGGGGTGCGGGGACACGTGACAGAGACACAAACACACACATATGTGGAGAGACTCCTTTACCTCCAGAATCTGATCGCCAGCCCAAAGCCTGCCATCTCGGGCTGCTGCCCCTTCTTCATAGACTTCATGGATTACGATGGCATCCTGTGGGAAGAAAGGGGTGGTGTGAATCCTCCCTCACAAACACCCCGCAAATGGGCAGCCACCCACCCACCCCCGGCTCCATGGCAGGTGAAGCAAGGCTGTACCACAGATTTATGGGTTTTTTTTGATATTTTGGGATAAGAAAATTACTGCCATAATCAAAATATGGACAGCTAGTAACAAAGGTAAAAAGGATCTTGTTCACCACTTCAGGGTAGTCTTGTCTAGAGCTTCCTAGTCCTCCATCACTTTCATACATTGGCATCAGCAGTAGATGAACTCAGTGTGAACCACTGCATTAATATGGTCTACTTTTTATGATATTATTTAAAACCAGATTCTTTGGAGCTATGAATATTTTTAGGGACTTGGCATAGAACTCCGCTTTAAGCAAGAACTGAATGCCTTGTGGTAAATAGCGCTGGTTAAATCTGTAAGAAATGAAATCCAGAAGAAATGAACAATGGCAAATGTTAGTTTATTACTGAGGCTGGAAAATGTAGGCAGTGGCAGATGTAGCTTCAGGGAAGGTTTCAGTGATTTAATCTTATTGCCAGCAATAGAAGTCCCCAAAGAAAAAGCATTACAAAGAACATACTGTTCTCTTGCTGGTGCTTTCCCTTTGCATTGTTCTGGTTTGTTTCTTTTGAGTTTTTTGTTTTCTTTTTTTTCCTATAACAAATAGGTGAACATCCTGCTACAGCACTTGGACTGCAGTCCCAACAGCTAGTAGGATGGGACAGTGAAGGTGCAAAACATGCTCCTCTCTCCAACGTCACCAGCAAACACCCAGGCTCAGAGCAGAGCCGCCTTCGCTGCACACTCCACAGTGGTTCTGGATAAACACACGGTGATTCCCCCTTGGATACTCAGGTATTGGGTAAACCATTCTCAGACAAATGCACCCTCTAAAAACCCTGTGGTGGTGAAGGAACTTCACCAGTTTGATGTACAAGTCAAAGAGGAGACTTTCTGCGGAGCCCCGCAGTGCGCCGCTGTCCTGGGGCAGGAGCAGGAAATAGCTGCTGGGGCAGAACAAAGTACCTCCCTGTTTTGAAAACACTCTTAGATGCTACATCTCTCATCACCGAGTGAACTCCCCCCGCGCTGCCTCGCAATCCTTTCCCAGCACACATGGTGCATGTTGAACTGAAAGAAAACTCAAATGCCCTTAAGCTAACGCTCTGATCAAGACAAGATTGAGAGAATTATTCTTTTTCATTCCCACTACACCTTATTTAATGATGTGGACTTGTATCTACCGCCGCTCCACCGCTGCTGGAGCACAGCACCACTGTCACGAGCTTCCACTTTGATACATATACACCAGTCACTGAAAAAAGCCCGGAGGATTTTAATCACAAATGGATTACAGCTGATACAAGCATCCCAGATGGGGGAAAAAAAGATTTCAATCTACATAAAGGAAGGCAAAACACTATGAGCTCTGTATCAAGGTAATTAAGAAAATCAAAAGAATGGTTTGATTTAATAGAATATTTTATATATATATATATACACACACAGACACACAGAGAGCACTGGCAACTGCAGGGTTTCCCTGGAATAACTGAAGCAGCTATTACCAGTGGAACTGAGTAACACAGGCATGTCCACCTCAACAACACTGCCCAGATCCTCTGCTATGTGTCTTAGATCTTCTCTCAGTTGTGAGGTTTTGGTTGTTGTGGGGTTTTTGCTGTTTGGTTTGGGTATTTTTCAGTTACCTTCATTTTAGAAACGATCATGTAACTCTAAGTCAGCACGAGAGACTTTTGCCTGGCAGAAAGCCAGGAGGCTGACAGTGATGTATATTTTTTCACCTGAGGCTGGTCATGGGTAACTTCAAGAAAAAGCTGAGTCTGTGGTTTGGAACTTCCATAGCACACTTCACTTTTAGTTTTTTTAAACACTTTACAAAGGAAGGCACCTAGAAGTGGTCAATGAGATGGCACAAAATATTGACCAGCTCACTGAGACAGCATCATTTAACTAAGACACACGGACGAACACAAGGTTCAGTAGAAAAAAGGCAATGGGACCTTGTAATAGCAGACTGGGCATGTACCTGAGAAAGTCAAACCAAACACTTTCAGTTTGTATTTAATCTGATATTTCCTAACATCTGAGCAAGGAGCTTTCAATCACATTTCTGGAAGTCTGTTTTCCATCTGAAGTTGCTTGAAAAAATGGCCAACAAGCTGGTAATGCCCAGCTTTTCCCAGTACTGCATTATTCAGTGTAGGACTGCACATACCTAGAGCTCAGATTCAGGAACCACCAAACATTATCAGTTTGAACAATCTGCATCGTGTGTTTGAAAAGGCAACAACTCAGTGTTACACTGCGGTTCCTGCATACGTTAGAAGCCAGACCTAGGACTAAAAATATATATGGCATGAAAAGGTACATTCCTGTTTGGTCTGTGCCTACCCTGGAGAAGGAAACACCTCGCTGACCTGCCAAAAGCACTGTTTGTCTTAACTAGTTTGGTTTGTTGGTTTTTTTTTTGTTGTTGTTGTTTTTTTGTTTTTTTAAATGTAGCATAGTTGAATCAAGCTTATCAAATCAATTAAAACCAGAATGAAGCAACATGTCCACAATGTAAAGATTTTTAAATAGTCCCTAAGCATAAATATGAGAGTCTTACCTTCCTTAGCTTACAAACTACAATAAACAGACATCTTTGATACTTCTGGGATCAGCTCAAAGTTCATTTACCCCAGAAGTAAGTAATCTTTTTCCACTGGATCTAGTGGGATCTGGATAAGCCTGTGTTAGTTTTGATCATCCATGACAAATCACTAAAACCAAACTACTGATGTTATTGCACATTGTTAACTAAATCAATGTTTTAAAGATGTTTACCCAGTAATGAGATGTAATGTCACACTCCAACCACCTAAGCAAGCCCTAATCTGTGATGACTCTATTGACCTGCTACAGATTTAAGTTCTAACACCCCTCTCAGAAAATAAAAAATAGAACCTATCATGACTAAAATAACACAAAGCATTTATTTAAAGGATGGGCTTTGGTTACTGAATGTTTGCAGCTTCTGTTCTCTAGCTTCAAATCCAGCTGTGTACTCGATATCTCTAGAGGTTCAAGACTTAAATAGCTCAAAATCAATCAATCAGAGGGAGGAAGGGAGGGAAAGTGGCACCAATGTTCAACTAGGTGTTGTGACTTCATGGTGGCTCTGGACAGATTTTCACACTCGTCCCTCTCCCCATGTGCTTTCACTACCATTTTCATATAGATTATGGCACTCCATGATGCAGCTTGGCAAGGTCACAAAAACCATTCGTGCAGAAGGGGGAAATAAAAACACACTCATACCAAGAACACGGTTGTTTAAAGAAAGATATCCAGCTGCTGAAGGCACATACTTCCTACAGTTTACAAATCCATTCAACAAACCGGAGCTTTAATCTTTGTGTATTTTGACAAAGAATAGTCCAAGACCATTATACAAATCAGGAATTAATGCAAAGTTGAACATGTCTTGAATGGGAAGGAAGGATGCAGAACACAAGCCAGGGCACACAAACAGCGTTTTGTACACTGAACACATCCATGCTCACAGGTCTAAACTTAAGAGTATCTGATCATGAAAACACTGAAAGACAAAGCAGGAGGGAATTTGTCTGCTGCTGCTGAGGTTGCCATCCTGGGCTGAATAATGTTTAGGCTGCAGGATACTGAAGGGCCTGAGGCCCAGTGAAGTGAAGCTGAATGCACTGATGTTACCTACATTGCATTGCTAAAAAAAAAAACCACCTGAAAGCCAGAATAGTTCCCAAACATGGCAAGAGCACACCTGGGTTGTATACACCAGGCACCAAACCTGCCATGCAGCATACTAGACAGTATTGTGTAAGGTTCAGATTTGAGCTGTGGGACAGCTACACCCCTCACTCTCACTTTATCAGCAGACCACCACTGTGATTGCACAGTTCTTCTTGAGCAGAGGGGAGCCACACAAGTGATGACTCCGACAAAACGAAGTTTTGGCTGTGGAAGAAAAGGCAGACAAGTGCAAGAGTTCATGGAGCCTCTTGGTCGACCCCTTGAAGAACACTGGTGCAAAGGAAATGACTACTGAGCAGTAAGGGCAAGACAACCCTACAGAAATCAGCAGCCAATCTCTTCCACTGACAGAAAATACAACCTGTAAAACATGCACAGTGTGATTGACTTTGCATTGCCTTTTACCTGAGGGAGGGGAATAGCCCTGAACTCTCAGGGAATCGGATCTTAACTCCCCCTCAGGCTGTGAATATTTTTCCTGCTTGATTTATACAACTTCAGAGACGCGGTAGGGGAAGAATATCACACTCACCCATCAGCAGAGAGCACAAATAGAAATGCTAATGTTAAGAATTAAATTCAGTAAGACTGACAGCTTAATCTTTGTATCTTAAATGTCAAGAACTGGTGTGGCAGAGACCCCAGGCAATGACCACATAGCACTGTCTTGATTGAGCCTTTGGGAGAAAGGTGGTAAAGTCAGCTTCCTATTCAGGAAAATCACTGACCAAGCGAACCTGAAAAGCCTGCAGGACCATAAACAGTGGTGAGAAAGTCTCACAAGCTGTCTGGCTTTAGGCTTGGACTGCTCATATGTTTTCTGTAAGTTTATAGCTTCTGAGCCAGTTCTCTCTAGTGTTTCTTTTCTTCTATGCAGCTGTTCAGGACAAGCAGCAGCTTTCAGTGCAGGTGCCCTTTGCCACTGAAAATCAGCCCCCAGACTGTTATTCACAAATGCTGAGAGTAGAAAGTGAGGGCTAAAAGGACACAAGACAAGCAGGAGGCTCAAACATTAGGCACTGTGGATGCTTTGATGAAGTTCTATCATGATAAAAGGTGGATCAGTATGCAAGAAGGGAGATTTCAAGAGAACGGGAGCAGAGAAATCCCCACACATCTGGTGTTGGCTGGATTTGACAAGGGAAAAGGTCTGAATTTTTCTAAGACATTTACATTTTAAGACATGA